GGTGAAGACAAGAGGGGAGTTGGGGTGAAGTTCGTGTTGTCACCTCCAGCCCCACTGCCCAGGGAGAGCCAGAATTGGAAAGGCATCAAAAGAGAGATGGAGTCACTGGAGCAAATCCAGAGGATGTCATGGAGATGCTCTGAGGGCTGTAGGCCCTCTGCTCTGGAGACAGGCTGGGAGAGCTGGGGGTGTTCATACTGAACAAGGGAAGGCTCTGGGGAGACTTTAGAGACCCTTCCACTACCTGAAAGGGCTGCAAGACAGCTGGAGACAGACTTTGGACAAAGGAATAATAAATTAAGGGGAAATGGCTTCGAACTGCAAGAGGGCAGGGTTAGCTGGGATATTGGAAAGAAATTCTTCCCTGTGAGGGTGGTGAGGCTCTGATACAGATTGCCCAGAGAATCTGTGGCTGTCCCATCCCTGGGAATGTTCAATGCCAGGTTGGACATGGCTTGGAGCAACCCGGTCTAGTGGAAGGTGTTCCTGCCCATGGCAGGGGGGTGTGAAATGTTAACAAACTTTAAAAAGTCCTTTTCAACCCAAACGCTTCCGTGATTTCATGACTGTGTGGGTCTGACTGTCCTCATCTCTGGGGAGATGTCTGTGGTCTTGTGGAGGAAGTGGCACACCCACATTCCAGAGACAGGCAATAAGTGGAATGAAGAAAAGGTTGCATGATTTTGCACTAGCTGAGGGTGGGAAGGAGCTAGCCATCTCCATGGGAGACTTTCCACAGGGTTTTCCTGACAGAATCTGGTCTGTCCCGCAGGTGGAGCGGCGTGTGGTGAACCAGCTGGCAGCTGCCTACGAGCAGGACCTGCTGCCACAGGGCTGCACCCTCAGGATCATCGTGGAGGACTCCAACAAGCAGCTGCTGAAAACCACAGAGGGGTCTTCCTCCAGCACAGAAAAATCCAAGGTGCCGACCCTGCGGCTGGAGATTGTAGAGAAGGACCGCAAGGCCCGAAAACTGGAGATCCAGGCACCGCTGAACCCCAAAAACATCACTTACTTCTTGTAGGCAGCGCTGGGCGCTTACAGTGACAATAAAACACCCCAAGAGTTTGAGAGAGCGGTGTCAGAGGGCAGAGCCACAGCCCTGCCACCGCTGGGCATGGACACAGGCATGGACACAGACACGGGCAGGAGCTGCCCTGGGATGGGCGTGAAGGGCTCTAGGGGTGCAGCTGTGTGTGACAAAGTGCCCTGGTGCCATTCAGGGGTGGGGCAGTGGATGGTCCTGGGGTTTCACAGGGTGTTGGAGTTTTTTAAGGAAGGGGGAAGCAAATTGCGGACCATGCGGGAGCTGGGGTGAATTTGTCATTCCCATGGAAAGGGGCTTGCTGGGTCAGCTGGGCTGGCAAGGTGAGGAATGGGAACTGAGTGAGAGTATAAAAGCCACCGGGCACTTGCTCTGTATTGTCCCCGTTTCTTTGTGGCAATAAACATGCTATGCGCACCCAACCCTTTGTGTCCCCAGAAGGAGCAGCTGTTGAGATCACCACCCTCATCCCAGGGCACTCCTGGGTCTCCTGCTCATCACCAGGAGCCAGGAATATCACCAAGAGTGGGGAATACCACTGGGAACTGGGACCCACTGTCACATCTCCCCAGCCCAGCCAGACGACATCCTGGTGCAAACCCCTTGCTGAATCTTTTTCTCATGACCTTCTTTCAGGAAATATTTAATATCTCAAGTGGAGCTAAGCTGTCCAAGTTTTCCCCCATGTCCCATGGGCGCTCCTTCAGGGAGCTAGCTGTTTGTGGTGAAATAGGAGACATGGTCACCACTGGGGCCACCCCAGACAGGGTTTCCAAGAGTAGAACATGAAATACATATGGAAATCCAACCTTCCCAGGATTAATAAGCCCCAAGTCACTGTCCCTTGGGATGCAGATAGGATCCTCATCCCACTGTTACCCCCTACCCTGATGTTCCCAGGAGGGTTTGGTTCTGCTGCTGGTTCCTGTCTTCCAGGGATACTAGGGATACCAGGAGATGAACCCTCTTCCTATACCAGTAGCCTTTTTCCTGGCTTACTGCCAGGGGCTGGAGCAGGATCCCATCCCAGGAGGGTTTGGGAGTGTCACCAGGCTCTGCTGGAGCCTCCTAAGGTCAGACTCAGTTCCACAGGTGCACATAGGTGTGCAGTGAGGTCTGCATGTGTGTGCATGGAAACACAAAGGTGTAACGTACGTGTGCGGGGTGTGACCTCTGAGCACAGCTGTCGGCTGGGCTGTGCCTCAGCCGTGTGCTCCTCAGGTGTCCCAGGGTACAGGCGTGCCCTGCCCTGCTGTGCTGGGTCACGGCGTGTCACACCGTGCTGTGCCATCACACTGCCGTGCCATATTGTGCCGTGTCATGCCAGGCCAGGTCACACTGTGCCATGCCAAGCCACATCATCCTGTACCATGACGTCCCATTACACACTGTGCCACCCTCTACCATGCCACATCCCACCATGCCAAGCTGTGCCAACCCCATGGATCGCAGCCCCACAGGCAGGAGCCAGGGCCACGTGGGCCCTCCACAACCCTTTGATGTGGTTTTCTTGGTGCCAATAGAGGTAAATGGGCTTCCACTGCCAGGAAGAGTGCCTGGGAGCATGGGATCTGGAAGAAGAATTCTCTTCGGCTGTGCCAGACACATTCAGTTCCCCGCATCTGAACCTCATGCTGGCACCCAATCCAGTCAGGGCACAGGGTGTCACCAGCGTGGGGGCTCAGGACACACTGGAGCACCCCAGCTTTGTCCACAGGGACAATGTGGCAGTGAACAGAGGCCTCCTGCACCTTTGGGAGCAGCTGTGGGGCTGGGGGACCCACCAGGACTTCCTGACACATAACCTGGGGGACTCCATGGGCCAATGAAGGCTGGAGACTGTGGGAGATACGGCAATGATGAGGTGGGTGCTATCATCCCAACAAAGCTGGCACTAGAGCTGGGCGAGTTTCAGGTGTGATCAGAGGGGATCTTGTAGTGGGGTCCCATCAGAGAGGGTCCCATCAGCATGGGATCCATTGGAGGGGTTCCATCAGAGGGGGTCCACCCATCAGAGGGGTCTCATTCAAGGAGTCCCATTGGAAGGAGTCTCCCATTAGACAGGGGTCCCATCAGGACAGTTCCTTTGGGCTTGGAGAGGGTCCCATCAGCCCCCCTGCCCAGCTCTGAAGGGACCCCGATCCACCCAGGCACATGGACACATCTCCAAGCCTACAGGCAGCTCCCAGCACACAATGGGATGGAGTGATGGGGGTCCCTGTCCCCATCTCCGCCACTGTGCTCAGCCCTCCCCGCTGCCAGTGCTTCCCCTTTCGGGAGCAGGGGGCGTCAACTTTACCCCCACCCCCCATTCGGGGACAGCTGGGCCACTGCCAGCACCCATCTCCCTTCATCCACCACAGTCCGCAGGGATCACCCACATCCACATCCCGCGGGAGCCGCGGGGATACAGGTCAGCTCCCCGGCTCTGCCCCCAGCTGCACTCCATCCCACTCCCCTCCATGTTCCACCCCCTCTGCTCTCCCCCTACATCTCCCTCCTCCTCCTCGCCCTCCCGGCTCTGCCCGTCTCTGGGTAGCACCAGCAGCTCCTTGCGTGGCAGATTGCTGCCTAATTAGTTTAGAGGGAAAACTTAATTGAATTAACTTTTCACAGCTCCAGCAGCCCGACAGTGGGGCCTCGCTCCGCGCCAGCCCCACGCCCTGATCGAATTAACTTGTTTAGCAACCTGCCCGCTTCGGCCGCGCAGCTGGGGTGGGCGCGGGGGGGCACCACCGGCACCCACCGGGGCCAGGGGCTCGGGCGGGGAAGCGGAGACAGAGACGAGCAGCCGGGGGAAGTGGGGGCTGTTCCCAGGGAACGGAGTCCAGCACGGAGCAAGACTCTTTGTGGCTTGAGATGTGTGGCAGAACGCAGGACAGGCATGGGGCAGGGCACAGGCCGGGACAGATGGCAGGGTATGGGCCAAGAGACAGGGCGGGAGATGGGGCAAAACGTGGGGCAGGACACAAGACCAGGTACGGGGCAAAACACAGGGCAATACACAGGGCAGGATGCACGGCAGGAAATGGGGAACGACACAGGTTAGGACAGGAGATGGGACAAGAATATACGGGAGAAGGTGGGACAGGATGCGGGGCTGGATACAGGCCAGGACAGATTCGAACCGAACCCACAGGACCCAGCCAGAGTCCGTTCTTCCCCCAACCCCCGGTCCCCTGGGGGACCCAAAGCCCTTCATTGTGCACAATTAGACTTTTAAATTCTCTTTAGTGAAAGTGTTTGTCTTGAAAATGTCCCAAATCCCGCCAAATCCTCCCGCATCCCCCCTCCCCACATGCCCCTCTGGTGCCGCTGAAAGGGGCGAAAGCCTTTGCCTTGGTCCCTGCAGGGCGGTGGGGGGATGGGGTGCTTTGAAATTCATCAGGGCTGAAAACTGGGGAGGGGGATTGCAAAGGCCAGAGCCCCCCGAGGAGAGAGGGGTGGGACTGAGTATCCCTCCAGAGCCGCCTGCTTCCCCATGCACCCAGGGACTGCGGAGGGCACCCAGGGAGAGGGTGTGGTGGCGTTGTTTGCCCTCCTGCACCTGGGATGCTCAGCCCCAGAGGCATGGCATGGCATGGCATTGCGACAGGGAGGGAGATGGGGATCAGGATGGACACGCACACAGGATGGGATAGGGATGGGGACAGGGACAGGACCGAGGGATGGGATGGGATGGCGATGGCGCTGGGGACAGGGATGACACAGAAGGATGGGGACACGGCTGGAAGGTCCAAGCGCTGGTCCCAGAGCAGGCCGGCCGAGTGCTGCTCCGGGAGGTGCCCAGGAGCCCCAGCCCCGAAGTAGCGGCTGCTGAGTCGGTCCGAGGTGGGGGGTGCCTGCGCCCACGAAGGGTTAAGGGGGGCGGGGGGCTGAGGGGAGGGGGGTGTCGGCTCCGCCCGTGGCGGGGGCGGGCGGGGGCCCGGCGGGCAGGAGGCGGCGGGGACGGGCGGGCGGCAGCCGGGGCCGCACCGGGCTCGCCATGGACTACTCCTACCTCAACTCCTACGAGTCCTGCGTGGCCGCCATGGAGGCGAGCTACGAGTTCAGCCCCTGCAGCCAGGCGGGCTCCTTCCAGTACAGCCCCATGCGGGGGGGCTTCGGGCCTGCGCCCGCCTGCGCCCCCCTCGCCTCCGCCAGCTGCGCCCTGGGTGCCCTCCGCGACCACCAACCCTCGCCCTACTCGGCAGGTAAGGGAGAGGGACCCCCTGCCCGCCGGGAGCAGCCCCTGGACGGGCATGAGGGAGCGGCCGCGCCGTCGGAGCTGGCCGGGATCGGAACTGGCGGGGGACCGGGGCCACCGGGGCTCGGGTCCGGCGGCTGTCAGTGATGTCAGGGCTCGGTGCCATCGGTTGCCGGAGCCGTCGGTCTCCTGTACCGTCAGTGTTCGATGCCGTCGGTGCCCGGTACTGTGGGTTCCCGGAGCCGCCGGTGCCCCGTACTGTCAGAACTCGATGCCGACGGTGCCCATTGCTGCCTGTACCCGATAGCGCCGGTGCCCGCTCCCACCAATTCCCGGTACCGTTGTTGTGCAGTACCGTCAGTGCTCGGTGCTGTCGGCGCCGATACCATCGGTTCCCGGTGCCGACAGTGCCTGTTATTACCCGTTCCCGGTGCCGCTGGTGCCCGGCACTGTCAGGATTCGTAACCATCGGTTCCAGGTACCGTTGGCGAACGATATCATCGGTTCCCAGTGACTCCAGTGCCCAACACCGTTAGTGTTCGATGCCGCCGGTTCCGGGAACTCTCTGTTCCCGGTGCCGCCAGTGCCCGTTCCTGCACGTTCCCGGTGCTGTCGATTCTCGGTATCGCCAGTGCACGCTGCCATTAGTGCCCGGTGCTGCCCGTTCCCGTTGCCGCCGGTGCTCGGCATTTCATGCTCGATGCCGTCGGTAACAGCTGCTGTCGGTCCTCGGTGCCGTCCCTTCCTCATGACATCGATTCCCAGTGCTATGGATTCCTGGCACTATTGGTGCTAGGTCCCACCGGTTCCCGGTGCTGCCGGTGCTCGAAGCCCAGGCTGGCCCTGCCTGGCTCGGTCCCCACCGCCCCCCGTCCCGGGTCCCCCTGCTCGCCTCCGTCGGTAGGGATGAACCCTCCCAAGCACGGCCGCGGATCCCCGGGGATCCCTGGAGTTGTGGCGGCCCCAGAACGGGGCTGGGGAAGGTCCCCGCCGCTGAAAACCCACTCTCCGCTCTGAATTCGTTGCCATCGCGGAGGCGCTGCATGTGGTTGCGCCGACAACGAAGGAGATGCCGGTCGGTACCGCCCGCCCCGTCCGCACCGGCACCGCATTGCCCCGCCAGCCCTGCCCCTGCCCCGAGGCCCCGGTCCCTCCGAACGAACGACGAACAGGGCCGGGGGCGCCGCGGCCGGCAGCGATCCAGCCCTGCCCTCGTCCTTCCCGCCCTGCCCGCAGTGTCCTGCCTGGTTCAGTGTGCCTGGTTCATCGTGCCCGGTCCATGCCCTGATTCATCCTGCCCGGTCTACCCTTTCTCGGTTCACCCCAGCCCAGTTTGTCCTTCCCTGTTCATCTACCCTTTGCCGATTCCTCTGCCCAGTGCATCCCCCTGCCCGTTTATGTATTCCCCGTCTATTTCTACCTATGCCATCCTTGCTCAATCCTTCCCTGCCCTTTCCTTCCCTTCCTGGTTCATCTCTACCCAGTTCATCCTTCCCTATTCATCTATCCCTGGCCAGTGTCCCCTGCCCAGTCCATTCTTTCCCGTCCATCCCTGCCCGATCCATCCCTGCCTGATTCCCCCTGCTCAGGTATCCCCCAGTGTCCACCACAGTCCTCCTACTGTACCGGCTCTGTTGACTCCCCGTTTCCCTCCCAGTTCCCTACAAATTCTTCTCGGACCCGTCGGGGATCAACGAGAAGCGGAAGCAGCGGCGGATCCGGACAACATTCACCAGCTCCCAGCTGAAGGAGCTGGAGAGGGTCTTTGCCGAGACTCACTACCCCGACATCTACACCCGAGAGGAACTGGCCCTCAAGATCGACCTCACGGAGGCACGGGTGCAGGTCAGCTCCGGGGAGGGAGGAGGGGGCTGGGGAGCTGGGGTTGGGGGTGAAAGGCTCTAATCCCACTGGAGCAGGGACCCTGACCGTGGGACGCTGCTGCTCTGCTCCCTGCGTTGGCAGGGGCGGCAGGAAGGGACTTGGCCTTGGCACTACCGCAGTCGGGGGACACACTGTTGTCACAGCCTTGCTCTGTTGAGAGCTCGGGGGGACAGCCTGACTCCCAGCAGAGTGCGGTCATTGGTTCATGCCACAGCACCATCACTGTCATTAATGATTTAGTTCAGTCCCAAACACCTTGAGGTTGGTGAGAGTCCAAGAAGGACAGAGAGTGGCCCTTTGTGGGTGCAGAACCCTTGTGGGTCCCCTGTGTCAGTGCAGATTTCTCCTGGGGGAGTCAGGACAGAGACAGACCCCCCGTGTGGGTGCAGATCCTCCTTCGTGAGTCTGTGTCAGTGCAGAACCGTCTTTGTGGGGTCCTTCTGTGTGGGATTCCCCCCGTGTCAGTGAATACCCCCTTTTGTGGCTTCAGACCCCCTTGGTGAGTGCAGACACCCCCTTTGTGAGAACATCTGTCCCCATAGGAATATAGGGACCCATAGGAGTGGGGGTCCTGGCCCCCTCCCTCCCGGGGGAATGGTGAGTGAAGTGTGGACCCCACCGTTGGCACCATGGGGAGCTGGGGGTGGGCTCCGGCCACACCAGGTGCCGGTGTGGGTGCAGTGTGACAATGTCCCCTCCCCATTTCCCTCCCCTGCCAACACCGGAGCACACGCCAGCGCCCGGCGTCAGCCTCACAAATCTACATTATTGTGGATACATGGATCCCTCTGGTGATGTGGAAGACATTTCCCCCCAGAGAATGGAGGGTTGTGAAGCCCACCCGGAGCCCGGGAGGGCTGCCTACACCCACAGGCTCCCCGAAGCCCCAGGGACCGTGGCAAGGGTTGCTCCCACCCCCTCCATCCCCCTCCAGGTGTGGTTCCAGAACCGTCGAGCCAAATTCCGCAAGCAGGAGCGCGCGGCCAATGCCAAGGGTGCCAGCGGCACCGGCAGCACCGGGAAGAAGTCGGAGCCACGCTCCTCCTCAGAAGACGACGAATCCAAGGAATCCAACTGCAGCCCGACTCCAGACAGCACGGCGTCCCTGCCTGCTGCTGCCATCGGCAGCCCCGGCGGCAGCCTGAGCCCCAGCCCTGGCGCGGGGGCACCCCTGGGACCCGGCCATGCCCCCCAGCCCCTCAAGGCACCCCTCTGGGCAGGGGTGGGGGGTGGCAGCGGTGCCCCCAACACGGCCGAGCTGCTGAAGGCCTGGCAGCCCACCGAGGCTGTGCCAGGACCCTTCTCCGGTGTCCTCTCCTCCTTCCATCGGAAACCAAACGGCATCAAGACAAACCTCTTCTGATCGCTGAGTCACCGGATCCGGCTGCCCCCCAGACCCCCCCTCGACCCCCACCCTGCACCCTCCACCCACCGCCCCCACCACGGACCCAGCCACGATGCTTCAGCAAACGGGGAGAGGGAGCAGGGACCCCCCCGCCACCTCCCGGACCCGGCGCTCATGGGGCGGACCCGGAGTGGGGGCAGCTCCCACCGACACCCGTGGGTGCTGTGGGACCATGGGGGTGCAAGACGGGGAACACCCCCCACGCTCAGCCAGCGTGCCCCCGGCAGAGCCTTTGGGTCTGGGGGCTCCCGGTGCACTCCAGGGGTGGGGGCAGATGTGGGGCTCCCCACAGCACTGTGGGTGCTCTCGCCCCAGGAGACGTCCCCCTCAATGGTCTGTGCCGCTGGGCTGGGGGCGAGGAAGCACTTTATGGGGGGCCTCTGGGGTTCACGGGCTGGGCAGTGCCGGGGACTCCGGTATGGAGACGCCCCTTGGCGTGGGGAGGAGTTGATGTCACCCAGATCCTGCCTGCTGACATGGACTCCCCCCAGCAGCGCCCTGGCAGGAGGAACACACACCCCCACCCGCGGAGACTGTGGGGAGTAAACGCAGGGCTGGGGTTCAGCACTCGCAGGGCTGGGGTTCAGCACTCGCCTGCATTGCTGCAGGCGTTGCCAGTGGGGACAGGGCAAGAACTGTCGGGAGTGAGGTGGCCCCTCGAGGGGGGTGCTGTGGGATGGAGCCCCTGGCGCAGCCGGTGGGATATCTGGGAGCAGCCATGGCCCTTGCCAGCAGCAGGCTGGGTGCTCCCACTGAAACGGGCACGGCTGCAGCTGGGTCCCCCACACAACCCCGTGACTCCCACAGGGCTCCTGAAGCAGGGGGTGCTGGTGGGCCCCTCGTGCCCAGCCACCCACTACACCCGTGCTGCTCTGCTGGTGGGTTTCGTGGCATGGTGAGGATGCTGGCAGCCCATCCATCGATCCCTGTTCCCCCTGTATCCCTCCCAGCTCCCCCGAGGTGGGGTCCCCACTTTTCTTTCGTTTTTTTAACCATTCTGTAATTTATTACCCATGTTTGCAAATGCCACTAATCCAAATTAAACTTAATTTATTGACACTGCTGCTGGCCCTCAGCCCTTGTTGCACCCCACCCTCAACAGGGGTTGCAGGGGTGGGGGGGCTGCATAGTCCCCACCCCTGGACCCTCTGAAACCCACCAGAACCCCCCAAGTGATGCCACACACCCCCAGCACCTCAGGGATTATTTTCAGTGTCCCCCACCCAAAGACCCCAAGCAGCTGTAGGAAGCTGAAGGGGCACCCCCTGGGAAGCCCCCTCAAGTGGGACGAGGAGTGCCCCACACAACCCCCCTGGCCTCTCGGGGCCCTTTGCAGGGAGGGGGGGTGATGAAGAAGGTCTTGTGGGCATTGGGACGGTGAAAGGAGCACGCCAGGCTATTTGGGGAGTGGTCTGAGGTACCCAAGATGGGCAAGAAGGGGACAAGGGACCTGGTCCCCACCTTGCTGGGACCAGTACAGCCAGCTTGGAGGGGTCACAGATTATGCTGGGACCCAGTATTTCCCCCTGGGTTCCCCATCTTGCCCCCCTCCCCAGAACCTTCTCCACCTCGCCATGCTGACAGCTTCACCACACCCATTGCATGAACATGATAAAAATCACTCCAGATTTACCAAACACCTCCAAACACAGGAGCTGGGGGTTTAGTGGGGGGAAGTTCACGCTAAACACCCCAGTAACAGAGGGGGGATGTTGGGGTATGCCAGGGGCGCCTGGCCCTTCCTTCATCTCAGCCGGAGTGAGGGGTTGGGGAGTCTGGGGGTAGCATCACCCCCATGCTCCCTGAGGACATGGAGAGCCTGGAGGGAGCATCCCAGTGGGGAAAGCACAGTGGGAGGACCCCTATCCTGGGGACTCCCACCCTGGGGACCCTCCTGGAAGGACACTTGGCAAGGCTGGGGGCTGAGCACCCACAGGGAGACCCAGCTGCCAGCCCCGCTGTCCCCAAGGGCAACAGAAACCCCCGTGGGGGGACAGACTCAGCAAGCACCTAATGGGCAAACTGGCTGGGAGTGGGGGAGATGCCCCGGAGGCACTGGTGGTGTGGGGTGGGCTGTGGGGGAAGGCACTGATCTGGCTCTGCTGTGACAGGATTCCCAGGCTGGGGATGGGACAGACCCAGCACGGGGACAGGCACTCCCAGAGTGGGGACGGGGGCCCTGTCATGTGGGAATGGGACCCCCAGGGTGGGGAAAGGGACTCCAGGAGTAGGGACGGAATCCCCAATACGGGAACAGGACCCCCTGTTCCAGGTCCAGGGGTGGGGACTATGCAGGGGGATGGAACCTCTGGGTGGGATGGACCCTCAGGGTGGGGGAGGGACCCCTGGGAATGAGGACTGCACCCCCAAGGTGGGGACAGCAACCCCAGGGTGGGAACAGAAACCACTATAATGGGGATGGGACCCCCAGGAATGGTGAGAGGGACTCCTGTGGTGGAGACAGGGATACCTGGGGTGGAGATAGAACCCCCAGAGATGGGGACAGGGACCCATGGAGTGAGTATAGGAATCCCCAGGGGTGGGGACAGCACATCCAGAGCAGGGAGGGGAATCATCAAAGTTGGGGTAGAACCCCTGGTGTGCAGATATGAGGTCCAGGGGTGGGGACAGGATCCTCTGGAGCTGGGACAGGAACCTACAGCAAGGGAATGGGACCACCAGGGATGGTGACAGAAACCCCTTGGGTGGGGATGGGGATTTTCCAGGGTGGGAGTGGGACATCCATCTTGGGGACAGGGACCCTCAGGGGGACAGGTGCCCTGGGGTGGGGACAGGGATGCCCAGGGTGGAGACAGTAACCTTCACAGTGGGGATGGGACATTCAGGGTGGGACAGAATCCTCAGAGTTGGGGATAGGGACCCTGAGCTGGGCCTAGTGTTGTCTATGGAGGCTGACGGAGCCATCCCATCCCATCCCATCCCATCCCATCCCATCCCATCCCATCCCATCCCATCCCAGGCATCATGAAGGCACTTGGGGTGGAAACATGACTTTGCTCAGAGCCTCCTCCTCCTAGCTGTGAGTGTCATGGGGGAGCCAGGATCCCAAAGGTTACCCCCAAACACCTCTTCCCCCACCCCCTCTCCCAATAAATAAAAAATAACTTAAATGTGAGGGAACCCTGTAGGGATCCTCATGTGAAATTATCTGACCAGGACCCACCACCCCCCTGTCCCCCCACTCCCCCTTCCTACCCCATTACCCTGCATCCAGGGTGGGGGATGGGCTGTGGAGGTCATGGGGTTCCCACTTGCTGCTGGTGATGGTGGGATGAATGGATGCAGGATGTGCGACTGTGGGATGAAGGATCCTCAGCTGCAGGACGCACAGCTGCAGGATCTGGGATGCACATCCATGGGACCCAAGGTTTGTGGTCACAGGATGCTGGGCTGTGGACACACGGCCACAGGATCTGAGGGATCTGGGATGCATGGCCACAGGATCTGGGATGCTCAGCTGCAGGATGCAGGGCCACAGGGTCCAGGATATGTGGCAGCAGGATACAAAATGCACAGCCACGGGATCCAGGATGTACATCTGTGGGATGCAGGATGCTGGGCCACAGGAAACACTACTGCAAGGTCTGAGACGCAGGGCTGCAGGATTTGGGATGCTGGGCCATAGGAAGCACGGGATGCTGGATGTGCGGTGGGAGTTACTTGCGGAGCTGGAGGCTCTCCAGAAGGATGCGCTTGTGGCCAGGCTCCCGCACTCCAGCCTCCTCCAGGTCCTCCTCTGTGATGTCACTGGGAAAGAGGCACAAATATGGGGATCTCTGACCCTGAGGGGCACCCCAGTCTCGGGTGGGGTCCCCACATGGGGGTGCCAGAGCCCCCACTCAGGTTGCTGGGTGCACACCCAGGCTCCATTCTGTCCCTGCTCTGGGGTTTTGTGACCCTCAGGGGGCAGTGGGGATCCCGAGAGGCAAAGGGCATGTGGGAGCAGTGGGGACACCTTGGGGCAGCTGGGACACCCAGGGGCAGCAGGGACGCTGGAGAGCAGCACGGAACCTTTGGGGGCCATGAGGCCCTCCAGGGGCAGTGGAAACCCTCAGTAGGCCGCGGGGAACACCCAGGGATAGTGGGGACCATCAAGGGCAGCATCCCAACAGACCTCCCCAGAACCCAGGCATCACCGTGAGCCTCTGGGGAAGACATGGACTCACTGGGGCTGGCCAGGCTGGTGGTGGGAGTGGGTGGGGGTCTCTCCCCACCATTCTGGGGGGCTGCTCACCTGAGGAACTCCAGGTCATCCCAGCCGTTGCGCACCAGCCCCTCCTCGTACCGCTCCAGCCCCAGTGCCCGCAGCCACTCGCCCACACCGGGCACGGTGCCCACGCCACGGCCCAGCGCCTGCACCCCAACAGCTTCAGCACCACTGAGCACCCCAAAGGAAGCCCCAGCTGAGGTGCTGAGGATCCCCACCCACCCTGTATCACCCACCTCCTCAGCCAGGTCCTCCTGGATGCTCTCCTGGATGGAGTGGGGAGGGAAGGCAAGGGGGCGGCCATAGTCAGGGTGCAGACAGCGGGGAGGCAACGCCCCCTTGGCCAGCAGTGGTGGTGGGGGGACCACCCTCTCCTTCCCACCCCCGTAGTCCACCTCACTCAGTGTCTTGGCCATCTGCAGCACCGAGCAGGAGCGGTCATCCATCAGCCCTGCCGGCAGGCCCCCAGGAGTGGGCAGTCCCCCAGCTGCAGGTAGGCCCCCAGTAACAGGCATCCCACCAGCCCCCTCCATCCCAAATCCAGCCCTGGCGGCTGGGGGTGGCCGGGGCTGCAGCTTGGGCAGGGGAGCCTCTCCAAAGGCAGCAGAGTGGGACTTGGGGTCCTCACACCCACTGGATACCAGCAGCTCCTTGGGGGTGCCCAAGAAGGTGTTTGGGGGCAGCTCCAGCTCCCGCGGCAGTGGCGGTGGGGGAAAATCCGGCGGTGGCAGGTTCAGGGTGCTGAGGTCCTCTTCCTCATCACTCTCGCCACCACAGCATGCCGAGGGGCACTGGCAGCGCTCCGGCACTGCCAGCTGCACCTTGCCCTTGGGGGGCTTGCCGGGGTCCCCTGGCACCAGCAGCTGGTGGGGGACCCCCTCCAGCACATAGTATGCTGGGTTGTTGAAGCTGTTCTTCAGGGGACCCCCCGAGAGCTCTGGCATTGCCTCCGCCTTGGACCTATGGGGACAGGGTTGAGCGTGGCACCCCCAGAGCAATCCCCCTCCCTAGCCCTGCCCATACTCCCTCACCGGCTTGGGGTGGCCTCATCCCTGGGGGTGCTGCGGTGTGGGGCTGGGGGACGCGGTGCTGCTGTGGTGCTGCTCTTCTCAGGCTCCTCCGGGAGCTTCGCCAGGATGGTGGTGGGGGGCTCAGCACTGGTGGGCTTCCGCCCCGCAGACCTGGCAACAGGAGGTGTTGGGTGTCCCATGGGGCTTGAACACCCACAACAGTGTTCAGACCCCCAGGACAGGGCTCAGATATCCCAGGACAAGGTTCAGACCCAGTGGGATGCGTCTCAGCAGCCCAGATCAGGGCTCCAGGATGGGGCTCTGCCCTCTAGGATGAGGTTCAGCCACCAAAACACAGACACAGCTGCATTCGGAGACTCAAAGCCCCATCCCTGCCCTGTGTGGCACAAAACTGGCATCAGGACTGTCCCCAGTCATATTCCACACACCAACCCAGAGGGATACTCTAAGCAATACCTGTGCTCAGGTGAATCCCTCAGGCCTCCCAACCCCCAGGAACCGGTGCCCCCCACCCTGCCAAGCCCTGTCCCCCATACTTGGCATTGTCCTGGGTGGCCCTGGCACCTAGCAGCACCTTCCCTTTGCTGGCTGTCGTCTCATCCTTATCGATGCTGATCCACTCTGCCAGGGAACAGGGGCTCAGTGGTGGAGTCCTCTCCCCACCGTCCCCCCTTGGGTGAGGGGTCCTCACCATAGAGCCTCTCGCGGGTGCCCAGGCGCTCCGTGGGCACCCAGACCTTCATGGAGCCACGGATATTGCCGGTCTCCTCACCACGGTGGGAGAGGTAGGTGAGGAACTGCTGTGCTGTGCTGCCAATCATCGACTTCAGAGCAATAACACACTCCCCTGGGGGTGACAGCAGCGGGAGAGGTTGGGGGTCTGCACCCCACGGACCCCCCAGTCTGACATGGTGCTGGAGTGGACACTCACCGTAGGACTCGTAACCATCAAGGGATTTGACGGTGAGCAGGAGGTGCTGGTCCTGCAGGTACTCAATCTCAGAGAGGATGGGCTTCAGCTGTGGCCAAGGGAATGGGGAGACTGAGACTCCCTGTTTGCAGTTTCCCCCTGCACCCACCCTGTCAGCCCCCAGCCCCTCCTCACCGTGGGCAGCTGCCGGGATGACCACTGCACCTTGAGGAAGTTGATGTTGTCACTGCTCTGGCTGTCGTTCTCGAAGCTCTTCTTGAACTCTGTGGTGGTAGCAGGATATGGCATCAGTCCTTTAGCCTTCCAGGATGCCATGAGCTTCCAGGGATCCCTCTTAAGCCCTCTGGGACCCCCCCCCACAGCCATTCCAGTCCTCACCTTCTAGGCAGGTAGAATAGAACTCAATGAAAAACTTGGTGCGACTGGAAGTCTTCACGATGGCTTCTATGCTCTCAAACTCGATGTATGCCTGCTCTGAGGACTTGGAGAGCCCTCCATGGAGAGGCAAGGCATTGGAATCTCCCTGGGACCTCTCCATTTAGAAGGAGAGGTTGGACCATGGAGGGGCAGGGGACAGCAAGGTATCCCCTTGGGCATAAGCACCTTTTTTGGAAACGAACTGGGATGTCACTCCTACTTCAAAGGAGCCGAAGACGGGTGAGTGGTCACTGGTGACAATGTCATCTGTGCACCCTGCAGCCAGTGGGAATGGGGAAGAAGTTAGGATGGAGGGGAGGACTGTCCCCAGAACAGGGACAAGAATGCTGGGGGTGGTTATACTGCTCACCATAAGCGTTGCAATTGACATGAGTCTCGGGGTAGGACTTCCAGAGGATGCGGTCACACCAGGACGGCACGTTGGTACGCACCTGGCAGGAGTGGGGAGTGGGTTGGGGTTCAGATTGGGGTGTCCTCCACTCCCCCAACTCCTCCTACCCCAGCACCTACCCCTGTGGGCTTCTGCTTGTGCCAAACATAGGTGTCCCGGGAGCCCCGCTCGTAGCGGTAGGTTGGGGGGAAGGTGATCTCCTCCTCACCTGCAGGGACAGCAGTGGGTCAGGACAGTCCCAACAGCAGGGGCTGCAGCACCAGAGCCTCCTGGAGCCCCCCAGTCCTCACCGAAGCGCAGGAACACCTTGTGCTTCTCTTTCTCCAGATTGAGCTGATCCACCTTCAGCAGCGGCTCCAGCTCCTTGCGGCTGATGTAGTTGAGGATCTCCTGTGGGGACAAAGGCGCTGGCACTGGGCTGGAAGGGGGACCCTGACACTCCCACCTGCCTTCCCACCCCCACCTACCCCTTCCCCTGACCTGGATGTCCATGTCTAGGCGGTAATTGAGGTCCCCGAACCAGAACAGGTGGGTGAAGCGAAGAGAGATGTCAAAGGAGCTCAGCTGCTTGTCCCCCAGTGAGAGCAGACGCAGGATGTCCAGATAGTTCTGGTTCCTCCTGAAGCAGGGGACACAGGGACAGGGTGTCACAGACATGAGGATAAGGGCAGCAGCCCTGTCCCGGCCCAGCCCAAGGTGGGGGTGCTCACCGTGCTGTCTTCTCATTGCCAGAGGTGAGGTGGCAGTTGACAAAGCCAAAGGAAGTGCCATTAAACATGAAGGAGACACCCACAGCACCCTTGTTCCCTGTGAGGAAATGGGGACATGGGATGGGATCAGGCAACCCCTGAGTCTACCTCAGGGAAAGACACCAGCTGACCCCAGGTCACAGTGATGGGGCACAGTCCCCACCTGGCCAGCCAGCACAGGCACGTACAGCCTGGCACAGGCTGAGAGGCCTCCCCATGAAACACACCCCCCCGGAGCCGCCCTCGTGCAAAGCACACTTATCCACACCTCTGCATGCAACGCAAACGTTCCCAGAATCTTCCCTGTGCACTGCACACAAAGCCCTCCTCGTGGAACACCCGTGCTC